TGGGACAGACATTCACCCCAATTTACACACCACAACACAGAGACACATGCTGCACATTCCTACAGTAACTGGGCTTTGATACCATCATCTGTCCAGTAGCTTGCCCTGGATCCTCTATCTCCACAGCTGTCTCACTCACTGCCAGACATACCACCAATGGGTCTCTCAGTTGACCCCAGACCCCATAGGTTCTGCAATAGCTGGCTTGGATGTGCCTGTTCTTCCAGTTGCCAACTTCTCCAGCTGACTCACTCTCAGACACACACGCACACACACACATATATACACACACACACACACTTCTGACTCACTTAACCTAGCCCCAGCTAGTCCAGCTTGATATTTGGGAGCGACAGGCACCAACAAACTCACCTGCAGCCCGTCCGGCACCCCAGGCACACTGGTCCCCATGACCCACGCTCTGACTCTGGTGGCGGGGACTTAGACCTCCATACACACACGCACACACAGAAAAGAATGAGTCTCACTCAGGAAAATAGTTAGAAATGGAGTTTAATGAAAAGACAGGACACATCATGCTGATCAGGCACAGGGCAGGGCCAGTCATACCAACCAGTCTGTTTATAGGCAGCCAGTCCTTTTTACCCCTTTATTTCTTAGTTTTCCCATACCTAGTCCTCCCCAAACCACCTTGGTCCCCACCTCTCCCCGCCTTTGGTTCCTCCTCTGAACATCCCATAAGACTTGTATGATTCCAAAATGCTCCTCCCTGCATCACATAAGAAGTCCCAAACACTGGCAGCCAGCAATTCCCCTCAGTCTGCAGAGTGGTCCAGAGCGTCCCTGACTCCCGGGGTGCTGGCTGTCCCCAACCTGGTCCATGGGGCGGAGGCTGGGGACAGCCCTGGCAGGAGCTGGATTGAGGGCTCCATTTCCCAAACTGGGTTATTGGGGTTCCCCTGGCTGCCACTGTGTTTCTAGGCTCCTTTCGCTTGTCTGCGTGGAGACGAGCCTTTTATCAAACAACATAATCTACTCCTGTTTCCCTTTCCCCCCCCATCCCTCTTTGAAAACATCCTGTTTCTCTCTTTTTTCTTGTTCTTCCCCTTTTCTTTCCTTCAACCCCCCCTTTTTTTAACGGACACAAATGCTGGATTTACATTCTTTTATATTACAAGTGAATAATGTACTGATGCTTTTCACACCCAATGCCTCATTATTTTGGAAGTGACACCTCAGTGAGCACTTCTCCAAGGCTTCTCAAACTGCACTCCAACCATATGCCCAATGCAAAAGTAGTTTAGTACCCTCTCTGCTGAATGTGACAGTTCTGCAAGCTTTTATACAGAATACAATCATAGGATTGTCTAGGTTGGAAAAGACCTTTAAGATCATCGAGTCCAACTGCAAACCTGACACTGCCAATTCCACCACTAAACCATGTCCCTAAGTGCCTATATGTTTTTTAAATACCTCCAGGGATGGCGACTCAGCCACTGCCCTGGGCAGCCTGTTCCAATGCTTTACAACCCTTTCTGTGAAAAAACTTTTCCTAATATCCAATCTATACCTCCCCTGGTGAAACTTGAGGCCCTTTCCTCTCATCCTATCACTTGTTACTAGCGAGAAGAGGTCGACCCCCACCTTGCTACAACCTCCTTTCAGATAGCTGTATAGAGTGATAAGGTCTCCCCTGAGCCTCCTCTTCTCCAGGCTGAACAACCACAGTTCCCTCAACTGCTCCTCATAAAGACTTGTGCTCGAGACCCCTCACCAGCTTCATTGCCCTTCTCTGGACATGCTCCAGCACCTCCATGTCTTCCTTGTAGT